TCTGGGGGTCAGGTCAGCGGCAGATGTTCCTATGACTCTCACAATCGCTCTGCCACCTACCCTCGGCTCGCCCTCGAGACGATCTAGACTTCCTCAAGGGAGACCCAACCTGGCTGGTTCCAACTTGCTCGTCCTCGATCTCTGGTACGGTATCCTTGGTGCATCTCCGTGGCTGTTCGTTCTGTGTCGTCATCCTCGCTCTGGTCCCAGGGAATCCGTTCGTTCTCGACATCCTCATGTCCTCGACTGGTCTCGCGCGGTCCTCGCCAGACATCCTCGTAGTCTGCGTACAGGTCAAACTCGGCGGCTTATTCGCCCAATGCACGTCTCGCAGATCTTCGTCCAGGTCCTTCTCGGCTACGTGCTCGTACAGACGTCCTCGTAATCTTCGTCAGGATCTACGGGCGTCCGGCAGGAAGCGTCCTCTTCGACATCGTAGGGCGACTGATACCTGCACTAATGAGCTCCTGGAGTTTGACTGGGTCTGCGGCATCCAGGCAGGCCCGTCCACAGCATCATAGGACGGCGAACCTCTACTGGCAAGCTCCTGTTTCCGCTGGATCTCGGGTGGCCTGGCGAGCGGCAATCTCCGATGACGATTTCTAATGGCTTCCGAAGGTGACCGTTTCTGCAGCAGGGCCTCCTTCGGTGCCGTTTCAGATATCGGGAACCAGAATAACACATAATGGGCCAGGTAGTGAGAGAAGGAAAAACGACAGAAAGGTGTTAAATGCTACAAGCCGATTGTTTTGTTTCATAATTTGCAGTTTTTAAAGTTGAATTTTCGTTATTTTCGTCTTTTTTTTTCATTTTGTGTCTTGTGTTCACAAAATTAAAGTAAGTTAACCCCTTGGTGCCGGGTATGACGTGTACGTACGTGCTATGCCCACAGTGAGTACTTGTTTGATTGTTTTTACACATAGATGGCAACACTTGTACTAAATCACCAATGAGCCAGTTACGAGCACCGCCCGTCTCGCCCGTTTACACGCTTCTTTGATTTGCGAAATATTTTACGTAATCTTATTTTGCTGTTACTAATGTTAAAAAACATTATAAAAATTATAATGTTTATGATAAAAATAACACCATCGATTTTCAGAGCACTAGTGAAAAATACGTTTTTCCCGCCATTCAAATCAGGCGCTAGCAGAGCCATCTATCGGCAGACATTTGACGAAAAACATAGAAAGTGGGCACAATATTTTCCCCATTTTTTGTTCATTTTCCCCGGCACCATTGGGTTAAAAGAAGAAAATAGGAGAGGGAGACGGCGATAGCGTCCGCAAGGACATCTTGAACTACCAAACCGTCTCTAGATAGATACGAGAATAAAGTCAGGGGGACAACAATTGGCAACCCGCAAGGATTTTACTTGAACCATTTGTCGAACCCGAAAGGAAAGTATGTAAATACGAAATCATGTACAAGTCACGCATCACGACTAACAATATTGCGGCAAACAAATACGTATGCCTGCAACTAAGACAGCAGTAAATCCTATTAATGAAGGTTTCAGTGTCTCTTGTTCTGCGTCGGTGAGTATGTGTGCATGCTTGAGTGACAGTGATTGATGAGTGTTAAATGGAAGTAAGAGTGACCTCCTATAGCAGTAGAGTTGCCAACACACTGAATAAAGTTCATATTTACCATAATGTGACTAATTATTTATAGACGTAATTCAAAATTATTTCAAGTACCACACTGAATTTAACATTTAATGATATGCGACAAAATGACGCATTAATGAATGGTGACGTGAAATTATTCACAAGCCTTTTCGCGAGCAAATCTTCTCGGGAATTTCCCCGAGGAAGTAGGTGTCTTTACCGACCATGCAGACTTCATTTGACAGGGGGGGGGGGACGTGACCCAAAAATTGTCGTATTTTATGAAGCTTAAACGAGCTGGGAAAATCTATAAATTACCCACTCTATCTGCGGATCTATGATGGGCGCTCATGAAATGCCCTGCGGGGATTTATCATGAATCACGAACCGATGGGATTTTACCCAACATGATGGAGACATATAAAAGTGTGAGCGGGTTGTGATTAATTAAGTGGATCCTAAATCAGACTTAAATCCTAGTCCTAAATTAATGGACATAATTGTGGTCACCCTGGCTCAAAGTCTGCCGAACGTATGATCTACTTCAGTTACCTTAACCTACTCTCATACGTGAGTCATTAAGCATAATTGCAACCTTTCAATGAGGATACCTCTTGACGTTATATTTAGTTATACAAGTCGCGTTACAAGTTCCGTTCTAGCGCCGATAGAATTTGTCACCATGAACAAGTAGCGGTTTCTATGCATTAACCCTATATTGTGACCACTAGTTCAAACAATTAAAAGGGAATTGCAAGCTGTTTTCTCAGCCATATCACTTTGACAATCACCCAAGGTCAAGTCAGGTCAGAGCTACCAGCTGTTTAGGCAGGCTGACTTAATGACTTTCACGTGAGGTCAGGTCAAAACAGCAAATGGGGAGAGAAGAA